GCAAGTTCATTTCAAACATATCTTTTATGATTTTTTGACATTAGCAAGGAACAATATATCTTTAAAGACTAACTATAAAATTAATTTTATTAGCTCTAGCCTCTAATGAAGTCCACTATTATGGACGAAAGATAATGTATTATGTCCAAGTATTTTATACCGCACTTTTTCCGGGAAAAAAAGGAGTGCAAGTAAATGTTTGTATTTTAATAAAACTAATAAAACAATAGCTAGAGCTAATAAATTTAATAGTTAGTCTTTAAAGTACAAGATGTCATTTCCTATATTGTTATATAAAAATAGTACACAATATATGAAAAAGAAAATAAAAAATATTTAATAGAATATACAGACTATAAAACACATTAAAAATAAAGAAATAAAATACTGTAATACAAAAGTATAAAATAAATATAAAGAACATAGAATTAAATAAAGCAAATATTACAATAAGATATAGAACAAAATAATACAGAACAAAGAAGAATTAAGTGTCTTTCAGGTGGCAGTCTTTAATAAATTTTAGTCTCCTTGAACCAAATGTGAAATTATACAATTACACGGTGGAAACACCTTGGTAACAAAATTCAGGTGTAAAAACGCAAACGAAATATGATTAGTGAAATTCCCTCAGATGCATTAAATTTACAATACTACTAAAGAAATAAAAGAATAAAGCTGATATATCTCAATAAATTTGAGGATGGATAGGATTCATCGGGGATTTGTTCCCAATAATTGTGAATGAGACCTGAAATAAATGACTCTTAATTCGATCAAAGTAATGAGAATTGAGAACCAACCAGATCTACAATTAACAAAAGCATGGAAATGAATGAATCAGAAACCTGCGCTCAGAAATGAATAAATGTGACCATTTGCAGTAACTATCAATATTGATTTTATGCAAGGTATTTCCACAAAATATAGAGTAATAAAGGTTGTTTCAGTGAGAGAGATGATAATAAATGGCTATGCTGAATACAAGAATTGTAACATTGAATAAAAATCCTCTATCAATCAATCCAGTATAAGCAAGAAGGGGGAGGGGTGTGGGAGAGGCAGGAGGGCAAGATCCCCAGGGTCAAAGCTTACCAGAGGGACCATAGAAGGTCACTTTTTTTCAATATTTTTTCCAAAAATAATAATTACTCTCATGGGCCCTCAATAATGGCATGGGTCCCCTAATAATGGGCTCCGCCAGATTGACAGGAGCCCCTCCCCCCCCAAATGTTCGTGCCTTCAGTGCAATTTTTCTCGCGCTTCGTGCTCGTAACTCCATGGGGGCCCACGCCAACCCTTGTCCATTACAGTTTCCCCTCTTGGCAACCATGAATCAATCAATTGCTCTAATCCATCAATCGGTACATCCATCAATCAAAAACCATCCCACCTATCTATCCACTTCATTTCTCATCTATTTTGTCATTAAAATATACATATGATATGCAGAAATAACCACAAAATTAAATTCCAAAGAACTAATATAGAAAGATGATCTTTAACCCACATTCTTGAAAAATTAATATACAGAGAAAATTTGAGTCTATATGGGCCAATGTATGAATAGAAAATAAATCAGTGTTTCTATAATATCTAGTATATAAATTATAAAACATAATAAATAAATATTATACATTTTAAATAAAAATTCTGAAATAAAAAACATAGCTAAGATGACTATCCATCAATCCATCTACTCATTTATTTATCCATCCATTTACACCACTCCCCCAATTGTTAATCTATCTATCCATCATCTATTCATCCATCTTGCCACTCAACCATAACTACAATTTTTGTAGACATCAGATTCACAACATAAATATTTTCTTACAAAATTATACAAAAACCATTTTGAAATTGATAAATTGGTATCATAATTTTGTGAGCATGATTGTGAGTCACCATTCAAAAATTCAAACAAATTAATTACCTCTTTTTTAAAAATAAATAACTGAATATATACAAATTTTAATGCAAAATATAACTGCATGATATTTATGCATGTGGAAACGAAAGTCAAATTGATTTTTCGGATTAGATGACATGCAATATATTCATTAGGTCCCAATTAAATAGACAACCCAATTAAAGCTGGGGATAACAATGCCTCTACAATTAATCGCCCGGTCAGCCTACCGCATATTAGTACCAAGTCCCTAATGACAGAGTGTACTACTACTACTACTACTACTACTACTACTGATTGACCGTTGGTTTGCCCTGCAACTATTCATCTTTCTATGCGTACCGTAGTTTTCTTGAAAACCACTTAAAACAACTACACATCAAAAGCACTAACAGGTAGGAAATTTATTTTTTATTAGGGTCACAAACTCAGCGTTAATTCAAGCACAACCAGATTTCAATTTGATACTTAGGAATGCAAAATACTTAAAATTATGCAAATAATATTTCATAATCCTCATGCATATGCAATACCTAGAAGAGAACCTGGTTATGATCAGAGTGTTTATGCGCGGCAATATTATATTCATGTAATACATTTAACAGCTGTAATAGAGATTACTAAAAATAAACAGCATATTAGTAACACACAGTTGAACATTTTGCAGAAGGCGATTTTGACTTTAGCTCTATTTAGCATGAATCTACTGAAATGTAAACATCAATTTGGATATTAGTCCAGGGATGAATATTGCACTCGCTGATGTATCTTGTTCGGGATCATCTGGAGAACGTATTTAAGACTTGGCTCATGCCAATTTGCTTTGAGGTAAGCTGGAGTGGCTACATCTAACTTCGAACTTACGGAATACTTATTCTGATTGTTTCTTCACCATTATTTATAAGCATATGGGGAGTTTCTGTTGTAGCACAGGTAATGTCAGATCATTTTTCACATTTTCAAAGAACTCTCATGAGCTAATAAATATATAAATCGATACTAAAAATGCTTTGAATAAAAAATAAAATTCAATGTTTATGTTTAATCAAGTAGCACTTAAAACAAAGGTTCTAAAAATTGTCCTTGCCAATTAACGGACGTACAGTTTCTATGACTAATTCGTTTTGGTATTCGTTTTGGTAATGTTTTTAGCTTTCAATATTAGGTAAGATATTACAAGAAAAATTTTCCTCATAATTAACTTGTACTGTTTGTGTAGAATAGTATTAAACATACATTGGCTAGTAATAAACTTAATAGTTTTTCGAGTTTTATGATCGAGAAATCAATTAAAAATGAATCCTGTTACCACATCCACTTAAATAGGCCTTAAATCTAGGTCTAAAAAACCCCAATACCTTCTCAGACCTAGTGGTAGGTTTATTTCATTTGTTTCAAAGATCGTTGTTATAAACGATCAATATTTTTGTATCCATAATTAAAGGACCCCCACCTCAACGCTTACCGGATTCAATACGGCACACAGTTGCAGCAGTAAAACTAGAACCGTGTTATAGTACTTTTGCGCCCTGTCGCAAGGGATTCAGTTGAGATGTTTATTTCTTTGCCCCAACCATATTCAGTGGAAATTGGCCTTAAATCTAGTAAACACCTAGAAATACTCATTTTTTCCAGTTGTTTAAAAGATGTTTGATGAAAACAACCAATTTTTCTTGCTTAAAAATAAAGTCATAATGTAATGCATTATATAAATGTTTTCACTTCTAAACTAATTTCAAATTTCATATTATTATCTTTTTAAATGCATATACTTTGGATTTGTAAAATGCAAAGTTCTTTATTGGCAAGGTTTATATGTACATTGTGTGTCTTGGAACTTATGATTGAGATTTAAACCAAGGCTATACACATTCAATCCTATCAATTTCTTCCACCTAGATTCCTTCCAATGGGTCGATCCTAATTAATACAGCAATAAGCTCATAATTGCTGGAGGCATTAATCTCTGATCAAATCATTCCCAACATGCAAAGCTTATTGTAACTTACTCAAATTACATTGAGAAAATAGATTCTATAATTATATAAATATAATGCTTTTCCAAACATAATGTAAACTGCCCAGGGAATCATATGTACTTAAACATAGACTTTTTCTCCTCATATTAAACATAATTTATTTGGATAGCATTAGTAATTCTATTTTAGCTAACTGCTATCTTGCAATTAAATGCAACATCAAAGTATATTTCTCAAAAGCACTTTAGCTGTTTGTTTTGGTATAGTATATTTAATTTGCCTATTTAAATAAATAACAGTCACCATTATAATTATAGGCAAATATATATAAAAAAAATTAAATAACTTTTGTACTCAATACAAAAAGTATCAAAATCATCAAAATATACATATTTTACTACTGTATCAATTTGTTTTTTCATGATTTTTTATGAGATTAAATTTTAATAGTGGCTTATAGCATTTTAAAATAAATATAATTTTAAAAGAATTCTATTTTGTAGCAACAACTGACAAATTATAACAACCACATAATATTTACGTGAACAACCAAAAGTATGAACAGCAGTTGGAGCACATATTTTAAGTTTAATACGTTTACTTTTCAATAGTTTGTATGTTCTATTAATTTTGTGATTGACGAAAACAATAAATTACATTCCACTGTAATTTCTAAGAGGGCAAATGAATGCGATTTTTAATCAGCAATTATGTCTGTAGTTACGGATGTCTTCTCGCCTCTTACAACTACTTGACTCTTACAAATGACTTTTTTAACCAGATTTTCCTGCTACAAGCTGTTTGGATAAGACAGTTGGTAAGCGGAGTAGTAGCTATCTTTATAAATCATTGAACAAAACTGTTACAGAAAACAATGGTTCATCATAAGGTTTAATGTACCAAATAGATAATCAAATAATGTCTTATTTACAGCTACCAGCAACTACAAATATTTCAACCTGCATTTCTTATTGCACTTGCACTGGAGCACAAAGGGAATGCACATTGGAGTGAGCCCTCTATAGTTTAAACTTGCACAGCTGTAGTAAACTTGCTGGTATTAAACGTGCTTGATTTTAAAGTGCATGGCTGACTGGTAATTCATTCTACCATAGATACTCTGCGATTGTACACTATCATGCTGGGTTAAGGCAGTAGATTTTTTAGTTGATGTTTAACTATCATTAAGAGTTATACACTATATTAATTCAAATAACATCTTATGAACTACTAAACTACGGGTGTTGCGGAGACATACAACAAGTGAGAACTAACCAAGGATTATTAATCACAAGGTAAGACCTCTTTTATTAAGTATGTAATGTTATGGAATATTATCTTAAGTGTTTAGTCAAAATTGTGTATTGTTCAAAGAATATAAACATTTTACGAAAATTTATGTTAAAACTCTAGTTAAAACAGACACAAACATTATTCAAATTATTGGTTTCATTTATTTATTTTATTTCAAATAAGCTATAATAATTTTTATTTTAAAACTAACATTAATATTTATAACATACCATTTTAAAAATGAACTCTATTCATAAAAAAATGTTAAATGTTACTTTTATAAGCACACTGTAAATATAGTAAAATTATAGGTTATGAAATCAAATAAAATGAGCAATTATTTTACTTTTGAAAATTGAACATTAAAATTCATTTTAAAGGATCAACAATTTATTTTGTTTGCAATAAATATCTACAGTACATGGTAATTCAGTGATTTTATTAAAAAACGTGTTGTACTAGTACATCATTTAAAATTTGGAACCTTCCACTTAATAATAATTTAATCACATTAACAACTAAAAAGCAATGTTTCTTTTGTATGCACTATAAAATGATACAGTTTAAAATGAAATAAAATGCACAATACAAGATATAACAAGATAGGTCTTTAAAAAGTGAAATGTACATTGATTAATATACTTTGTTATTGTTTTATTATCCATTTTAAAAGATGATCATATTAATTATTTAATCTGTAAAAGTAACAAAAATGCAGAAAATGAATATTTAAAAAGTGTTCAATATTGCTTTTAAATGTAATTTTATTTCTTATAGATTATTCCTATTATTACAGTTCTTGGCATGCATTGTATAAATAAATATATTGAACTAAGCACATCCATGTAAATTTCCTATTTTTATGTTGTAACATAATTCGTAATTCAGCATTTTTGGCTGCCATGTTTTATGCTTTTTATGAATTTTTGAATTTTTAAATTTTGAATAAAATACCACTATATATATAATAATCCCTAAATTGATATAAAATTATTTATATATTCATAACCATATTTTTATGAAAATTATTTTATCTGAATAAAAATAAACATACTTTTTATTGAAAAAAGTAAACCACCAAATAAATTAATTTACTGATGGTATACTAATTTAATTACTTATCTCCTGTGAGAGATTTATTCAAGTGTCTAGATAGAGATAAACGGTTTTAGGGCCCATTAAAGAAATTATTAGTTTATAACCCCTCCCTCATCACTTTTAGGAAAATTCAGATTTTTTTTTTTGATTTTTTCAATCAACATATATTTTTATTTTAAACGGTCCTTTTTCCATCTTTTTTTCACTTGAAAAGTTCAGGATTTCTTGCAAATATGTATACTGGTACATCAAAAATATATATATATATATATATAAATAATTTTGGACAATGCATTCATAAAATTGTTATTGTCTACTTTAATGGTTATCTGTTTGTTCATCACAGATATAATTCCACCCGTGTGTTCACACTGATTGGATTTCTACTTAACTACAAGAGCCTAGTATTTCTGATACCTGTCATTTGTTCTCCACATAAAGAAACAGCAAGTATCCTTTACCAGATTAGTATATAGAGTGCTAAACTTTTATAAATGGCTGGCATTGTTTGGACAGCAAGCCGACCAATCGCATCACATCGACTGTAACAACACAGGGTTTTGTCAAAGGACTGGATCATTATTACAACACGAAGGTCATAAGTGTGTATAAAACAATCGCTTTTGGAAGGAGCTTAAGACCATATTGTAACTGAGATCAGGAAATAGGAAAAGGTGGCGATTAAAAACCATCTTGTGTTATACTATTCAAGCAACAAGTGTTCTGGCGAGAGCATTACATGCGCTGTCGGTGGCATCAGAATATTAAGAAAAAACAGCGGCTCTCATCAAGCAAACAGTTCAGGCTGATTAATCAGAGTTGAGGTGTATAAAAGAAGAGCACTGAAGCAGGGAAACACAACAAACTAAAGGAATCAGTTAAATTTATGGCGGGTAAGACGATGTGTTTAGATAGAAATTACTCATGAGTAAAGGACGAATAGAAAGCTTATTGAAGCTGAATCAGAACCTATTCTTCCAAGACGATAAAAGGAAGTAAACACACCAGCAGGCGCTGATTGAATTTACTGAGATTATTTTAAGTTTGAAATTGTCGTCAACCTGAACGGATAACACACCACTAGGCATTCATCTTTCAAACCACATTAAGGAGAAATTACAGAACGGTAAGCATTATAATATTTATTATAAAAGTAACATTAGCATAAAATGGTTTTTAATACTTTAAAAATATTTAATAAATCTTATTTTTATTAATACTTTGAACTGTTTTATGTATATTAGCTGTGTGAATAAGTATGTACACATTTTTCTACCAGTTTTATATAATTATAAGATTTACAGATAAGCACATTTTGTACCAGTGATATAATTATTTATTTAATGTAGTTGAAGTGATATTTTATATATCAATATAATATTAAATTAGCAGTAAAACCTTGAATAGAAGCCCAATGGGCTTAATCTTGAGAAGATGTCCATCTCGAATGAAATCCCCCTCTTTAGTTTGCAAAAGTAGCCTGGATGGGCATTTTTTCAAGATAGCATAGGCTTCTTTTCAAGATAATTCAGTACATAAACTGTACACGAAATTCAAAGAAACAAAATAAATTAAAAACATGCTTGGTTAATACAGAAGTTTAGGTGATTTAATGCCAGTTACAGTAATACACTCCATGATACAAACTGATGATACAGCGGGCCTATTTATTGCTTAGTAGTAGTAATTCCCAAAATGTACAGCATTCATTTTGAAAAAAAAGCACTCCTCTCAGCTTTGCAAACGTAGCCTTGAAAGAAAGTTCATCTCGAAAAGAAGCCCATCCGAAGTTCGCAAAAAAAAGAAGCCCAGGGCTTCTATTCAAGGTTTTACGGTATATTATGAACTGCAGTAGGTTACACCGTCCTTTACCATGTTATAACAAAATATTACACACACAAACACACACACACACTAATCCCAGCTTCAGACAAAAAGACAATATCATTTTACACACCTTTCACTCATTTCTTTTCATTCAAGTTTATGCTCAAAGAACTATTTTGTTACCCATGAGTCATCCAATGAGTACTTGAAACTTAATTCTTATTCATTGTAATGAGTTTGATGAGTCAAATCTACGTTTAATAAGCTATACTTTCCCATGTACTTCAAGGTGTCATATAAAGTTTTAAAATTATTATTATTTTTTTTAATAATTTAAGGGGTCAATCACATACAAAATAACCTCCAGGCTCTAGTAATAAACACGGAAAATGTTTAAATCTGTCTCTTATACACATCTAGATGTGTATAAGAGACAGATATATATATATATCCATGGCTGCATTATAATTGGTCATAAAAATCTATTATTTTAAATAATTTCCATGTTATTTTAAGCATGTTATTAACATTTTCATGCATGTAAAAGTCTACAAATTTTTTTACCCAAACACCCCCACACTCGCCCCAGTATAGTGTATTATTTGTGCACTTGTAAAAATGTTGATAATTGTGAATGACACTTAAAACTCATTTGAAAAACAACAATTATAGCATTCAATTCATATGTTATTTACTAAGGTCATCTTTCACAAGGCCATAATTGCACAAAATGAAAAAAAATAAATAACAAATTTTGTTAAAATGACAATACACAATAGCACAACTAATAATAATGACAATCAGACAATTAATGTCCTCCGGTGTAGGCTTGCACTTGGGGAATCACTTTTTCTATATTTATGGCCAATCAAAAGGCAATACTACTACTGATTCAGATTACACCTTCAGCATTTTCAAGAGAGAAAGGGTTCAGAAAAATGGAACAAGGTGTGCATATTACCTGATGTGGGCTTATACCCAAGGAAATATAAGGCCCTATTAAAAATGTTATTAGTTTGTCACCCTATATAGGTTGTAAAAGTGATAAGGGAGGGAAGCTTTTCCATTCTCTCATGGATTCTGTAGAAGGAAGGAGTTAGGTGCAGAGTGGTGGTGTCAGCAGGGGAAGGGGATTAAGCCTCCCAATTAAACAGGCGAAGACTCCCGTCGAACTTGAAATTTTAAAATTTTTGTTAAAAAACAACTTAAATGGCCCAAAATTACCCAGGTTTTTTTTAAACCAGCAGAGCCATAGGAAGCCCCTGGATCCCCATCAGGACCTTATCCCTGGACCCTGCTTGAAATTGCCAGTCTCCCCCCCCCCCCAATTGGAAAATCCTGGTGCAGCCACTGTGGGCAGTAGCTTCCATTCTAGATATTTTCTAGCTGTGATTTTCAATTGAAAGCCATATACCTCAATTATAATAAATCACTAACTTTCTCGTCACAATGTTAGAAAGACCTTGAAACCATCTCCCATTGTGTAGACAACACCAGATAAATACATACAATACATTTAGGTCAACCCAATTGTCTTTCATTGTTATTATTAAGTTATTCAGAATTATTAGTACCTGTAAAAGTACCCTGTTTTCAATCAGGCTTCCTACATTGAAAAAGAATAGACAAAGAAAAATATATAAGGGTATATTGCTAGTTAACCATTATTGGAGACAAAGAAAATAATATAATAGACAGAAACATATGTTTCTACTCGCTCAATAATACATAACAGTGTGGTGGTACTCTACTAGCCAATTAATTATTAGTATATTAAATCAGTTGTAATTAAACACAATTGTTCTATCTGCAATCATAGAGCCTAAAAAGTATCTAAATGTCATCTAATTAGATTCTCAGCCATTCTAAGGCAAAACGAAGTAACTTAACAAAAATACAAAAGCAGTTACGATGCTTTTTCATGGGACGGCCTTTCTACTTATAAAAAAAATGGATTCTATATTCTTACACCATGGAGCTATATTCATCTTTTAATTAATTTATTTATTTTTAGTAACAAACAATAAAAAATCTTAAAATAAAATCTTGCTATAATATATTGTAAAGTAGATACTGTATATGTAATGTATATTGTTTAAAATTTTGAGCACATAATCCCAAAAGATTCAATCACTGCCAACTGGTAGGAATTGATTTCCATTTTTAAGGAAGTCATAATCTTTCCTATGCTACAATACTCAGCTTGAGAATTCTAACATATTTTTTCCTGTCCTCCTTACAGGCTTCCGTGACAATCATGGCACAGACTGGCATATATCGCTTGGTCGTTATCATAATGTGTGCATTAAAGGCGGTGGTATTAGCTGGACGATTTTCTGGAACGCCACAAGATACTGAGGTTGTAGAATCCAATAATGCTTTGTACACGTGTACGGTACAATCGTTGAATGATAACGAACATATAAATTTCACCAAAGATGGAGTTGTAATAAAGTCAGAGGAACAGCCGTGGGAAAGGTTTAAAATCAAACATGTAGACGATCTTATAGTAAAATTAACAATTACTTTGGTTACACGTTCAGATCACGGTGAATATTCGTGCCAGATTCGTACAAATACTGGCGATGTCGTAGAGACATCTCCTTCTGGGATGCTTACTGTTCTAGAAATACCAGGCGAAAATTTTCCAACTTGTTCTTCATCAAAACGTTACTATGTTGTAGGTGATACCGTGGAGTTAAAATGTACGTCGGAAGAAACAAATCCCTTACCACAACTACACTGGGGTTTGGATCCTGATATAAAAAATCCATACTTCAGGAACTCAACCAATAATGGTATGTTTTCTCTACACTACAATTTTGTAGCAAAACAAAGTGATAATGGAAAAAGTTTCATGTGTACACTTAACACACCAGTAGATGCGACGATTAATAAAGTGTGTAATTTTGGACCGCTTTCAATCCAGTATGCACCCAATGTAACTGTTATAAGCCAGGAATACTACACAGGACAAGAAATGGTTTTGATATGTAGTGCTGAAGGGAACCCCTACCCAACATCATTTTCTTGGTCTTTCTCCCATACTCTTGAAGAATCTCAGTATGAAATTGAAAACAACAATCAGATTTTACGGTTAGAAAACTTAAAACTGGAGGACAATAATTTAAAGGCAGAATGCACTGCTACTAATCCTGTTGGTAGTCGAAGTGCGGAATTTACTGTGACTTTCAAATCGCAACAGACTACCTCATCTTCCTTTGAAGGAGATGGCGCGAAAGTAGATGGAAACGCTTTCCCAAATACCTCGGATGTACCATCCGAAAGTTTGGTAGTTGTTTTAGCTATTATTTTCATTTGTCTGTTTTTTGTTGTTTTGGTATTAGTGATTCCAATTTGCGTAATCAAGCTTCATAAAAGACGTTCAGATATGAATCCAAACCAACGCGAGTTACCACCGCAACCGACAGGTTACTACGATCAATTTAACAACTTTCATATTGGTAATGATCACATACCGAATCAAAATAACATTGGTTATAAGACTATGAGCAGCAGTAACGGAAGTGAAAATAACTTTCCCATCTTTGAAAGTCGAACCTTGCCTTTAAGTCACAGACTTCCACAAAGCAATATAAGTCAGGACTCTTGGGTAATGACACTCCCATTACGCCCACATGCAGACCGAAAACTGACGCGCCATAGAAGTGTTGAGATTCAAGTTTCAGAGGACAGTTTTCCAATTTATGAAGAAGTTGGCAAAGCCCGTTGCAGGGCAAATACGGAGAGTAAATGTATAATGACAGACTCACCACTAAATAATTATGGAAGGGCTGAAAATTTTCTGGAAAATATCCACGAGGAAAATGGAATAGAGCAGAAAGAAAAATCAAAGACAGCAAAGAGTCCGGAACTTAATCCAGAATTAATAGTATATGCAAAAACAGAATTTGTGTGATATAATACTGGAATCGCTCAATGAGTATGAAGTTAATAGTGAATAGTGATTTTGTGAATATCAATTTATATTTTGTATTAGAAAAGTGAATATCATCTTCAACTTGTATATCAAGATGTTTGTTTTTATAATTTATGGTTAACCTGAGAAAATATAGCTGGTTATTTATTGAAAGAAATTGTACATAATTTTGATGTTACTAAGACAGTGATCAAAATTCCATTATAAATGAAGTTAGAATTATGCAATGTATAATGTCCAAATGGACAGTTCTAAGTTGATCTAATATATACTGGAAGTCTTATCTATGAAAATATACTGTACTTATATCTGTAAAAAATAAAAGCATTTCAAACACTGTATACGATTTACGGTACTTCCAAATTAAAACAAGATTTCATTATCTTTTAAAGATGGTTATTTTAATGGGATTTGCTAAACTTACAGCAATGAATGGCTACTTTAAAGTGGGTGAGACTGATATTAACCAATCAGGAACTGACATGTCATGTTTTATTGACAGCAGAGTAGAGGTTTATTTAAGCAATAACCCTTTTCTTCACACCACAATCCCATCACAAAAAGTTTTCCATTCGCATAAACTTCTGGGTCTGTCTAATAATAATTCAACATGATATACACAGATGTTAATTATAGTATACAAATATTGACTTCTCATAAGGGGAATGGTGAAATCTATAGCCCGGAGATGATCTTCCCAAGGGCCGATAGGCTATGGTCTCCACATCACCGAGGGGCTACAGATTTCACTGTTCCCCAAATCTAGAGCAGTCAATATTTGTTTTATATACAGTACCTCTTACATAGATTCTATACACCAAGAAGTCTTAGGCTTACTTCCTAGGCCTAGGCGGTCAAAGGGCCAATCTCTCTCACCGTCGTAGAGGTCGCGTCTCCTTTACTGCCCGTGCGTGTCATAGATTACATAGTTACGCGGCCTAGAGATTGCACATTGAGCGACAAAAAAGTAATATAATTTAGGGTGATAGTACTTTCTATTGATTGTTTCTTAACCAATCAGATGCCTAGAATCTATGTACCTGTATGCAGTATATTTATAGCAGTTATTAAAAGCTGTATAGTGCAGGGTGGTTATAGCAACATCATGCACTTTCCCATATATAATTTTCTTTATTCTTATATTATTACCAAGGTTCTAGAAGCCAAATATGAATATTCATTAGCAGAGCTTCATGACATGGGTTATTACAGGCACAGTGCTATTCGGACACTGATAGTGATGCTATTATTTAATGTTAATGTTTTATTGAAGATAATTAATGAAAGGGATCTGATGAGTCTAATCCTCTGGTGCTATGATGATGATGAACGCTGATGATGATAACAATGATAATGAGGATGATAATAATGATGAGAATGCTGCTGCTGCTGCTGCTGATGATGATGATAAGGATGCAGATGACCATGATAAAAAAAATAGATAAATTGTGAGACCTTGCCTTGGCATGATGTGCTACATAATTGAAAAAATATCGTTATTTTATTATTATGATTTAATTCATGATTTTTGGGAAAATTAATATAAGAAATAATCATTACAAGAAAACTTATAAGACAAACCTATTTTGATTTAGGATAAACATTAATTATAAGTAAACATACTTTAATACAAACTTACATCCAACAAGCGATAATTTTATAGAAAATTTGGCATATTATTTTACCCAATATACCAACTATAGAAATATTGATGTTTCATCATTATCAGTAACCAATAATAATTTATAAATAAAAATAAAATAAAAATACATAAAAAGGACATAATTCATTTTAAGTTTTTCATTAGAATGATGAAATAGCTGCTCCTAGATTACCAATGGTTTTGTGAGCCCATATTAATCCTTATAATCAAATTTAAACATCCTAAGTTTATGAACTGTTATTCCGCAGGACAAAGTGTAGTAGCATAGGCCTACTGTACTGTAAATTTTTGCTTCCATTTTGTCTCTGCATTATCTACTACTGAACACAGCTATTAATAATAAATTGAAACTCATAAAAAACGACACTTTCATGAATAAAGTTAGTCTGTATCAAATTGCTAACGAAGACAATTCGAACATATGGATACTGCCTCTGTTTAACTAATAAACACTATTTATATTATATTGCTTTTCACTGGTATAGTTAATTACAAGGTGGCTTTTAATTGCAAATTGGAACAAAAAAATGTTCTTACCTAGTATTAGCAAATATAACTAGAATTAACAAATGCATAATAAAATAATATTTCTAAATTTGGTAATCAATTAAAGGATATTTTTTTGTAGTAATACGTCACTATAATCTGTGTGTCACAAAGTATATATTTTTTTGATCCATTTAAACCAACAAATTCAATGTATATACTGTATTTGTTTAAGGTATTTCTAGACTTCATCAGGTATACTTCATCAGTAGACATTTATGTTGGCAGTGCTATTGTTACACCAGCCTTATACCAATTCTCAATTCTAATTGGATGATATAATTATGTCTGAATTGGATTAGGACATACAATCAGAATTCGGAATTGGTTTAAATTTAGTGCAATTACAAATAGTCACTACCTTTTATTTAATGCTATTTTTTTAGCATTTACTGTACAAATTCCAGCATGTTTCTGCTTGGGACTTCAAGATGCAACTCGGAAGTATCTTGCAGCCTTTAATTTGTCTGTGCTGTAGTCACCATCTAGCAGACAGTCATAAAAACTAGCATTTAGAAAGCTAGCCACGATATTGATTTTAACGTAAATGAGGATAGTGCCTTGTCATAGACTTTATTATGAGAATGATTTCAGAATTTGCAGAATTTATGTTAATACTTATATACAATGACAAAATACAAGTTTACTGTTACAGTTTATTAATAATATACTTTCCAACAATGTTGATAGAATATACTATCATGTATAAAAAATTTACTATCACTTACAATGGTACTAATAGAAAATTATATACCATTATCATAAATGATCCAAAAAAGCATTGTGTTAATGCTTCAGTGCTGCACTTATTCAAGTACGGTGCTTATATTATATAAAACATTTTAGTGCAGCAGTTCTCAAAATTGCTTTGGCCTACAACGACCCAAACCAGCGTCCAGGTAATTTGCTGCGACCCCCTTCCAATGATGTTATAAAACTTCTAAATGATAAAGAATTCACTCGTTTTTTGGTAAATTTTAGCAGGATATAAAACTGAATTAAAAAATCTTGTGACCACACTTATTTGGAATTTTAGGGCTCAGTCTCATAATTTAAGAATCGCTGTTGTAGTGCAAAAGATAGGCCTATTCAACTTGTGGCAACACCACAGTAGTAACTTTTAATCTATAAACAATTGGTTGTTTAACAGCGGTAAAGATATGAAACATTAAAGCAATTTGGGCATGTATTCTTAACTAAGCATTGCAAAGTTCAAACTAGAATAATACCTCTAATGTATGCTGCGGCGCATATTCAAAGCATATTTGCATTTTACGAGAATCATGATCATATTTGTATTAGATATGTGTATAATTTTAATTACGTTTACCAATGTAAGATTCATGAGCTAAATCTACAGCGATTACAGTGAGAATAATTAATTTCACCTAATGTAATGGAATAGTTGAAATAAACATGTCATAAAAACAAGAAACTATCAATTAATTTTATTTTGGCTTTACAGAATAATGATATAATCATGTATTTGGGAGAGGTTGGCATGGCATATGCAATTCCTCTCTCATCAGGGGAATTTCTGTCCTTGAGCAAGGCACTTTATCCTTGTTATCTTTTGCCACCCGAAAGTGTCTACCTGGTAGACTTGAAGCTGATTATGGATAGCATAGCATAGCATATAATCCCCTAGGGAAATGTCATATTATACATGTTCTATAGTGGTTGATCCAGTGACTGGGGTAATACTGTGAATTACCTAGAGGCCTTCGCAATATGAGCTTAAATATAATACCATATATTTTGTTATCAATAGCACAAATATTAATTTGATTCTATTGATTCTATAATAAGGCGATAGAATACGTAATGCTATTTCTTATCATGAATGCTAAGTCAACATTCTCAATATCTTTCATTGTAAATTTACTATAATGATAATATATTCCATAACATACATAGTAAATATTATCGCTATCAATATTAGATAACATACTGATGATAATAGCAAAAAAAAATAAATATTTATGGTAAATATTATATCATCATTACCTTTTTTATAGAATTTTCACAATCCTCCAATTTTTTTTTTTTTGGCAGGCATCATTAAAGGAAACACGTGTATACAGGTCTCCCTCCAATTAAAGACCACCTCCAATTAAGGACCACTTTTCTGTGGTCCTAAATTAACAAATGTCTTTTCATCTTTATTCTAATTACCATGGAAACCCTGGTCTCAAATGTAGTCTTGAATTAGAGGGAAACCTGATTAAAGCAAACAGAGAATAGTAATACAGTTGAACTTTGCCTAAGTCGAATCCAAAATGCCTTTGAAATATTGTTCAACTTAGATAAAATTCGACTTACAGAGACACAACAATTTGCCATGTAAAAAAAAATTATTAAAAATTATTTGACTTAGGCAAAGTCGACTTAGGCAAGTTTAACTGTATTTGTATGCAGTCATAAGGTTGTAAGCTGTAGATAAAAACATTCAAGATTATCATATTGGTTTAAGGGAACAGGCAACATAATAGCCTGTGAAACATCTTTTACTACAGTAAAAGTCATTGTCTTTAAAAATAACCTTTGAAAAACAGTGTGAATTTGACTAGTGCAACTCAAAAACAACACTAAGATATCCTGTCGAATATAAGGCTGCCTGTTCAATAAAATGCTGCCTGTTAGATAGATAGCTGCCTGTTAATTATTTTTCTGTTAAAGGTATTAACTTATACTTAATTTGGTTTTACGCACTTGTTTTTTTCTACTTAGAATGTTGTTTTTACATTTTATAAGTTTAATTTTTGATGGAAAATGAAATAAATGAGAACTTAAAAGTTCTATAGTGCAAATAGTTTATGAAAGAATATTGAATTACAAAATATTTAGCTATTTGATTTTATCATGAAAGTTTATGTTGGTGAAACATATTGAAAATATATTGTTTTTTAAAGATATACCATCTAATTAAAAATGAGAATGAAAACAAATTTAAACAATATAATTTTTTATATTCTTTGCAAATCCTTGATTTAGCTAGTAGTAGTTGTAAATCACATTTGTTTTGATCTGTGTAGCAAGCATGGGGAGTTAGTATCTAATTTGATTATTCTAAAATGAGCTATTTAATGTTTAAATTAATCTTTCAGTTTTTCCATGTTTTATGACAAGGTGGTATATTTTTAAGATGGATTCAAAAGGCAAATCAAATGTAAAGCCTGTTGATAAATATACTGTATAACATAAGAAATTTTGCAAATAAAAGGAGAGAAATATTATATTGATAATGGTTGTAAGAGTAATTTTTTCCACACTCTCAGAAAACAAGGAAGGAACACATGCCCACTGGTAAGCCTCTTCCAAACAGAGCTGCAATACCACAATATTGTGGTAAGCACGCCGGCATGGGTTTCTTTCTGAATGGTCGATACGCCAATAATTATGCCAGCTTACAAAGGTGCTGTGTGAAAGAGCAGATATTGCGGCAACGTCTATCTGAAAGGGGCTTTAGACACAGCAT